TTCTCTGCTGACCAGCTGCTATGCAGGTCATTAAGCCTGCCTACTCCATGTAAACAGATGGGACATGGTTAAAATTATTAAAACCAGATAAATGTTTCAATGGTTTTTTTCTTCATACTAGTGTACATCCAAGAAGTGTAGTTTCAATTAGTTAATTTATGGTATAAACAAAAGGTTTAACAGTATGATTGGCAGCTCTGTTGACCAATGAGGCTTCTGCACATTAACATATTAGTTCCATTAGCTGATCTCTGCTGCATGGACTCCAAATGTGTGTGTGTGTGTGTGTGTGTGTGTGTGTGTGTGTGTGTGTGTGTGTGTGTGTGTGTGTGTGTGTGTGTGTGTGTGTGTAGAGGAGGCACTCATTGGGTTAATTGTTGAGCAGGAGACTGCAGCAGTTAGTATGTTGGTATGCAGTTACTCATCTTCACAGAAAACGCCATAAAGATTCTTTAACCATTAAACTGTGCACACACAAACTCACACACACACACACACACACACACACACTACATTGTCTTTGAAGTTCATTATTAAATCCCTAATGAAACTGATTTCATTACATTCATTTCGTAGCTTATAGAAAATGGACCATACATAGTTATGCAACCATGCAGCCGACAAACCAAATTACCCACATGGCTTCATCATATCTGTGGTCTGAGGGCAGGGAGCGTCATGAGAAAATACATTAAGATTAATGATAAAGAAATGTACAAAATGTTCAAACAGCATCCCAAATGAAGCAGTACTCTTGGTTACAAGGACTTTATCAGATAAAATGTGTTAGCTATATGCAAAGGTTGTATACTGTTGATTTTTTCTTATTCCTCTTGTGGACAAATTTCAAGTATATACCAAAACATGCTGTTTGTTTAGGATCAGTGTGTTATTACTTTTCTCTCTTGTATATGGATTTTACCCAACATGAGTTGCAACAACTGTGGAAAATTTTTGTGTTGAAGTTAATGGGACAACCCAAAAAAAGAGCAATTATTGTAGTTATTCAAATGTCTCCTGCTCCGGCTCAGTTTTTTTTCTGTTGTATAAATAAATACTTGAAAGAGGAATTTTTGTTGTAGGTGTGCTGCTTGTATATATCATCACAATGCTTCGAGTATTAATTATTTGAAATCTCATCATAATGTACACTCCCCGACAGTAGCTTCCATGGCCCTTTTCAAACTCTCCCAGAGGGAATTTTCTAGTTCAACATGTTGTGCTCAAGTGTCAAAGGTGCGCATGATTATTCCAGACCAGTAGATGGCAGAAAGATCAGTTTATAACATCAGAAATAACATGCATAGACTACATCTATTTGAGCAGACAAAAATCGTAAACAGCATTATTTGAAGCTGCTGTGAGAAGGTTTAAGTTAGTGTTAATTAAAATTCTCCCCTCAGGTAAAGATGTGAGCCTTAGCTTATCCTGTATGTGAGAACGTAGCATACCTGTTTTTGACTAAAATTCTTATTAAAAGTAAAAAAAAACATAGATCATTCATTGTGAATGTTTACAAGGCAGTGCCAATCTATTAATACAGCTCAGTTCAGACACAGATCGACTTTTATGTTCAAGAGGAAGATGAAGACTTTCAGGGTTAGAGGATTTATTTCTTTGTCTTTATGAAACTGGAGCGGAAGTGCTAGAAACTGCAGTACCCTGAGTGTCCACTTAAAGGTCTGGTCTAGAAAATCATTCTGGTGCACAGTCTGGTTTTATAACCACAACCACAACTGTTATACTGACCTCTTTAAATGCACCAGACTCCTTTACCCAAATCAGTCATTTTACCCCCCTGAGCTCTGCTTAAATGCTGCCTGGATCAGCCGGTTTGTTTGGGTCATTTTGTGGTATTTGTGTTTAAACTAACTAATTTAATTCAAATGTCACACTTTTTGTACCACACTGTAACACAAATAGACAAACAGATCATGCCAGGGGTGGACCACCAGCTCCCTGGGCCTTGTGAGGTAGAATCAGTGCTTCTGTGAACAGAGTCTGGTGTGTTTGTAGAGGAGAGAGGTTTAACAGCTGTTTGGGGTTTAAAAATCATCTTATCTGCAGAGATCCTTTCAGCAAGGTTGTCAGACACAGAGTGCCTTGTAACCTTGTTTCCGCACTATGGGTAGAATGCATTCAGGATGCTTTAGTTGGCTTTTCTACTTCAGTTAAGGGTTTCTGTGTTTTAATACTGTTAAACATCTGCTAAAAGTGGAGCTCATTTGAATTGCAGTATGGTTCATTTTTAGCAGAAGTAAAACATTTTTCTTTGGGATCAAGACAAAAAAAATTATAATGACAACTTAAACTCTCAAATACCTGTTCCTGAAACCTTCAGTGGAAGCAGAGCTGGAGTTTAAGTACTTTGGTCTGCTGACCGTTTGCTGTGTGATCATCGTGAATGTTTTCTCCTCTGGCCCACCTCTTCTCCTCCTCCTCCTCCTCCTCCTCCTCCTTCTCCTCCTCCTCCTGCTCCTCCTCCTCTTCATGAGCCCTCTCTCTCTCTGCAGGTTTTCTCCCTGACTGATCACTCCATCCACAGGTCAGAGGTCGGCAGCATCCATACACTTATACATGACGTATTATCCAAAAGCAATTAGTGAGAAACACAACGGACACTCAGTCAATCTGTAACTGTGTGTGTGTGTGTGTGTGTGTGTGTGTGTGTGTGTGTGTGTGTGTGTGTGTGTGTGTGTGTGTGTGCTTGTGTGTGCATGAGTGCGTGCGTGCGTGTGTGTGTGTGTGTGTGTTTGCATATTTGTATCTGCATTCCTCACAGTAAAGGCTCCTCTTCATTCCCTCATCAATCAGCTAATTACTGGTCAAGAGGGATCGATACAGTCTGAAACAAAACACACACACACACACACACACACACATCACGTGCATGTTTGGAGGCTATGAGCTGTTGAATTAAAAGCAGTTTGATCTTTATAATAACTGGATATTTGAGGGTTTTCAAGACTTTTCTTTGTCTTTTAGCTGAAGGTGGATCCTTTGTTTTCAGTTCTCCCTCTGTGCAGCTCAAGGTTTTTCTCCTGAAAGTCTTTTTTTTTTTTTAAGAAGTATCACTGAAAAAAATAGCACTGTCTTGCACCAAAACACCTCAACCCGAACTGTTTATTTCCACTGTAAAGTTGGACACTTTTTTTTGTTTTTAGAAAATAACATGACTTTGCTGCATACTCAGGGCATTTTGGGGTCTTAAGGTCCAAAGTTTTAAGTGTGAAAGGAGTCTGGACAGTTAAAGTTTCTGTCTTTTGACAATCAGAGGTAACTGTCACTCTGATTTTGTGCCATCAAAAATAAAAGAACTTTTAAAACTAGCTTATTTAGCATGCTATTAACTGTTTTATCTAATACCCACCCCCCTCAGCTGTTAAAAACTACAATAAAATCATTCATATCAGTGCTAATGGTCTGGTTTGTTTTTAAGGTCATAAAAATGAATCACTTTTAATTTCTGTTTTCATGACCACATTGAACCTCCACTCAGGAGCTATAGGCCAGATGGTGAATGGTGGACGGTGGATGGTGATGGTGGTGAGGGTTCGGGTCTGACCTTAGCTCTGACTCTGCAGAGAGGAGTCTGAAACCTGAACTCTGAACCTGTGGCTTCCTGCAGGAAACTGTGGAGAAAAAGCTGCAACAAGTTGAGACTGTGGGAGAGAAATTATCTCACTTTTGTCAGACCTGTTGACTCATTATCTCAGGTGTTTTCTGAGGTGAGCCAAGCTGTTGAGCTCTGCGAGAAGGTGGTGAGGAGGCCGTTCCCCTGATCAGCCTGGTGGATTGAGTTTCAGCTGTCCAGCCTCCTTAATGACCCCTTTCTCTGTCCAACACCGAGCCTACCAACAATAATAGATCCTGTGATCTGGGGCGGCCCTCCTTTCACATTCCTGCCAGACTCCGGGGCCGCCCTGCCTTGAAAGAGCTTCAATCTGTCGGACATCTGCAGCCCCTCTTACCTTGTCATTAGAGATAGACCACTCGCTCGAGCTGCCACGGACACCTCTCATTCCCAACTTTCCCTCAACCCCGGCTCACTCTCAGGGGACCCCAAGCAGGGCCGGGACCCTGTGTTGGGAACCCCCAGGGAGCAGAAACCCCACCATCGTTACCTGCAGGAGGCGGATCAGGGTGGAGGAGGAGGTGGGGATGTCTCCAGGGAGCTGCTGGTCTCCTTTTGTTCCCGAGGAGAGAGGGAGTCATGGGCGAGGAGGAGGATGGTCAGACTGGTTTAACTGGTAACTGAGCTAAAGAGGCTGCCAGACCAAACTAGAAAGAAACTTTAACATTCAGACAAACCAGGATCTGACCTGGCTGATGGAAAAACCACAAAGGAGGTCTGAGCCAACAGTCACTCTGTTGAGGCTCTGCAACTACACTGCAAGTTCTGGACCAGTTTTTACTTGTTTAGTTTACTGTGACTATCTGGATAAAAAAAAATCAGCGTCTTTAAGCAGTTTCCTTTTAATTTGTTTTAGTAATCAGACAGCGTTATCAAAATTCACTGACTCTAAACATCCTGTATGATTGACACTGAAGTCGTCTCTGTTTTATCCAGGTTGGTGTCAATACTGGATTTGAGGAGACCACGTTCTGGAGTCTCAAAGTGAAATGTTCTCCCATCCTTGCCTGATAGAGGATTTCAGCTGCTTAACAGTTCAGGGTCTCCTTTGTCCTGTTTTTGGTGTCATGGTGCTCTAAATGTTTTTGGTGGGGGACAAGTCAGAACTGCAGGCAGACCAGTCTTTCAGCCGGACTCGTCTACTACAGAGCCATGCTGTTGTAATCCCTGCAGAATGTGGTTTGTCATTGTCTTGCTGAAATATGAAGGTCTCAGAAACATTATTCTGGAAGTGTTGAACTATTAGCTCATGCAGTCTCTCACAGTGTGGTGAACCTCTCCCATCTGTGTACTTATTTATATCTTTCCACTTGTTCTGATTGGTGACAATGAAGGTGGAAAAATAAACAGAAGTGACTCAAACATATCTGTGAATCAGGGTTTATGTGGTGTTTTTTTTTTCAGAATAATTATCACAACCAAAAACAGTCTTATGGGAAGATTTACAACCTCATTGAACGTGACATGATGGGTCTAAAATAGTAAAAACTGTCTCTATGTAAATGAAATATGTACTTAAATTCCCTTCAGGTATTTCACTTTATTTTTATACAAAAGAACAGCAAACAGATGACATGGTGGAGTGACAGTGGCAGCAAAAAAATCAGAAATTTCCAAGCATGATGAGCTTCTGTAAGTTTGTATTTGTCACATTCCCTGGGTTATGAAAATATCACTTTTATTGGACACAGATGGAACTGTACCTTGTAAAATGGCACAAGTTCACATGTTGCATTATTTATTCAATATTTTCAATATGTATTAAAGTCTTTTATGAGAAGACTATTCCAACAAAAAGTGTCAATGGTCATTCATAATGCTTATCTCTAAAACTAATATTTTCTTAAAATAAATACATTGGCCCATCATATATTTTTAACTCTTGAGATTATGTTGTCCTGTGAGAACCATGTACATGAAATTCTGAGGATCATTTTTTTGGCTTTTTGCCTTTATTTGACAGATCAGACCAAGAGAGAGGAATGAGGGGCAAGAGTGACAAGGAATTGATCCTATGACCAGTGCAATGAAGACTCTAATCTCAGTCTCATAGTGTCCCTCATGGTTCTGTCCCGGGTCCTCTGTTGTTTGCTCTGTCCCTTCTCACATGGAGTATCTTAGAGATGTGTCTTATCTTTACTATGCAGATGACATTCAGCTATCTCTTAAACCTAAAAATGTCTCTAAGCTGGCAGAAAGGTTATCCCCCTTTACTCTGAAGCAGTAATCTTTTTGTGGCTCCTTTTTGGGTTCTTCCACTCCTAAATTGCGTTTAATAAATAAAACTGAGGGTGCAAGACAAAAAAAAAAAACATTTACATTTGCTCAGAAGTGGCAGTTTCACAGTTTAACAACAAACAAACTTAGAATTTAAAAACTGTACGGCAGTTGTGTTCATTTTTAATGTTACGCTTGTACATTGACTTAGCTATTGACACAACTAAATGTGAAATATTCTACTTTGTTCTAGACACATGCTGGTTAGTTTAACTGCATTAAAGTTTACAGCATCTGACTCCTTCACTTTAAACTATCTAATAACTTGAAAGATGTTGACTAGATCTGCTTTTGATGTCAGGATCATTTTAAGACCTTACAGTAACAAACCTTTTGACAGAAGTTCAAAACCCCTTTAAATAAATGTTTGAGTTGCTTGGTCCTTGGTTCAAAACCAGAATCATGTAAAGGACGAAGGCAGCACTTTTATGACCCAGCAACAAATTCCCCCTGAATTTATAGCAAAGTTTGAACTGAAGTTGAAGTCTCCAGTTTGCAGGGGAAGAAATCTGATCATGAGTCCCTTTGAGGGAAAACATTCATGCTGCTTATGGTCCTTGTTTGGGCACCCAGGTGAAGTTCCACCTTCCCCCATTGTCCTTTCTTATGAAGGCCTGTCCCTGAGGGAAGCTGTGGGTTTTGACACTGCTGGATGGGCTAAGGGACATACTGAATGCCAAATCTGTGCGGCTGTGAGGGGTCTGAGGTCTGGTAGGAGGTAGAGATCTGGCTGATGGACTCATGGGACTGCTGCCATGGACTGGTGTCCTGAACTGGCTCATGGCTGGACTGGAGTAGGCAGTGGGGGAGAAATGGACTCTCTCACCATGTAGACTGAACTGGATAGCATCCTGTGATAGTGTCTGGCTGCACCTGAGTGGGGACCAGTAGGCTGGATGATTTGTGGGGTTTCCCTCCAGAGTTTGGACTGGACTCGGGGCAGTAGTCTGGAAATGATCTGTTGTTTGAGTGAAGGGTGGGTCTTGTGGTGGAGCCTGGGGGGCAGTGAGGGTGTCACAGCTCCTGATCACAGCATCAGGAGATCCAGTATGTCCACCAAAGGCAGTGAAGTCAGAGTGTTGGCCTGGAGAAGTGGTGCAGCTATGTGAGGACTTTGGAGGATTACTACAGTTTATCTCCTGGTATTCGATGGTGCCATAACCGTGATCAGCTTCAGGTGTAGATCTTTGGCAGCAGCTGAGGACTGAAGACGATGCAGAAGAAGAGCTGAAGGACTGGCTGAAGGATGAGCTGTGCTCAGATGGTGAAGAAGGGGAGGCAGCATGGTTGTAAACTAAAGTGCTGAGACTGTGGTCAGAGCAGGTTTCAGACGTGTCGATTGTATCTCGATCCTTCAGTCCAAGCGTTCGGAGTACCCAGAGGTCAAGGTTTGGTTCTGAGGAGGAGGATGTCTCAGAGGACTCAGAGCAGAACTCGGCAGTGAGATTCCTGCACACTCTCTTGCTGATATGCTTGGAGGTGAAGAGCTGATGACCACAGGTGTGGAGAGGCCCGTCAGCAGAGTACATCAGATTTCTTTTCAGCTTCCTCCTCCCATCAACGGTGAGTTTCTACAACAGAGGAACAAAATCACTGTCAACACCAGGCGTGTCATATCCACGAGATCGACTCAGTTTAACTGGAATAGAAACTTTCCCCGGGCTGTGAAGCTCAAAGGCTGGAATAACTAAAACATCATCCACTGATGCTTAACTTCATTTAAACTGCTGCAGCCAACAGAGGGTACTTCACAAGTATTAAAGTAAACATATGGCTGAAAAATGTTGGTGCACTGATTTATTATGGTGTGTGTCATGTTAGTGAAAACCTTTGAAATTTTCCTCAGTGATAAGTGTGAAACAAGATACCTCAGGGATCTGGTTCGAGGCCACACAAACACAAACTCTAAGTCTAATAAAATTCGTCCAGTTACAGGAAGAAGTGCAGGTTTAATAGAATCTGATGCACCCACAGGAACAGGTTAATACAACACAGGATTTGAAGCTGCTTCATGATTAATGCTTTGTCTGAGCAGTTTGCCATTTAATATCATGAATAAGGGGAGTGAACAGACCTTTGCTTTCAGCTGCAGGTTCCTCACAAAAGAGGAGTCAAAAAACTGTCTAAGTTTGTTGTTCTCCTCCTGCAGCCTGGCCAGCTCCTCCTCTCTCTGCAGCAGAGTGTCCTGCAGCTGGGAAACAATTAAAACAAACATTTATGACCCAAAAATGAAACCTATAACCTTAAATATGCCCTCATTTGGGATTACGGGAATAACAGCCTTTCACCTGAGAAAAGCATCTAAATATTGCATTAATTAACAGTTAGATCTTTGTATGGTACTGGGCTCCAACCTGTTTGTTTCTCTGAAGGTGAGGAGTGAGCTGCTCCGTCCAGGTCTCATCAGAAGGAGGAGGAGGACTGTTAAAAACACTCTGAGGACCTGCAAAGACACAAAAACAGCTTGCTTTAAGACTGTGTTCTATTAACAAAGGGTTACTTTGTGAGCAGCCTCTAGTGGCCATCAAAGGAACTGCAGTTATGACTCCTATCAGCGCCTCAGATTACAGCTCAGAGCGTCCTGATGAATTGAACGCTTGCATTGAAGAGACACTGAGAAAATTAAAAGATGAATCTTAATACAAACTCTTCCGGATATTTCTGAGTGTGAGTGGGGATGACGCACTGGTGTGGAACCAGCCGGAGCGTTTGGTTACCCAGAGTTCACAGAGGAAAGCAGGAAACTGCTCTGTTTGATAAATGAGAGTCCACCTCTGCTGAATGTGGCATTTAAGAAAGAAAGAAAGGAAACTTTCATTTCAGTCAGCAAAGTAAGGCTGCATTCAGAAACACTACAGCATATCACACTGTTTCTCATTAAAAAAAAGACTATTTTAACTTCTGAACCAAACTAAGAAGTTTATAATGTGATAGTAAAAAATTTGCATGACCCAGTATTTGGTGTCTCTAAATATGGACTGGCTCCTAAGATATTAAGTTGTCTTCCTATTAAAGGAAGACAACAGTTGTAGTACAGTTGTTTTTGGTCTGCTCCACCATGCTTTGGATACATTTGATCCAATAACTGCAAAGTATTACAGTTTTGTGTATTAAACCCTGATTATATATAACCGAAGTTTCTGCATGTCGCTGCACATTCCTCAGAGAAACGAAAGTATAGCTTGACTTGAAACCATTTAGATGCAGTATGTCTGCACCCTGTGTGCAAGAAATGATCTGTTTGTAAATCAGAAACAGCTGAATGAGTCCACTTAAGTGCAATCCCAAAGTTGAGGCCAACATTGGGCTGTTTTTTAAGCTTTTTATGATGTTATACCAGTGCAGAAAAATAAACATTTCATGGTCACAAATATATTTCACAGAATGACAAAAAACCTTTTCCCCAAATGCAGTTTTTTCACTGAACCGAAAAATATGTCAAAAATAAACATTTTTTTTATGTAGAACACAAAAAAATTATTTTGAGAAACTTTTGCATTTTAACTTTGTTGCCTTTTAAGATTTTGTAACTTGTAAAAATTTTTTCACATTTTTTAAAATAAATTTTATTTTAATTATTTTAGGTTTTGTAAAATATTTTTATTTCTTGATAATGTTTGCATTTTTTGCTATTTTGGCATTTCTATAAATTTCAGTAAAATTTTTTTGCTATTTTAATTTTTTTTCTTATGATTAAATTTTTTTTGTGTGTGTTTTCTGTGGGAAATTTGTTAGCCTATTTCTTAATTTCTGTATTTATTTTTGATATTTTGTAAAGTTTTGGGGGATTTGTATTCTTTTTTACCTTTTATGATATGTTTCACTTTAGCAACTTTTGGGGTTAAAAAAAAATCCTTGTATAAATTTATATATTTAAATAAATGCATTTATGAAATAAAATTTTCTGCTCGCTGTTTAATGTCATAAATACATTTTTAAAAGATTATATAAGATAATTTCAACCTTATCTGAATGGATTATTTACACTACAATTTTTTTTTGCACATTTCTTGCAGTTTGTAAAATATTTTTACATCTTAAAACAATTTGTGTAGTTTTTGAAATCGCTTTGCTGTTAGTAAAATTTTCAGTTTTTCCAATTTTTTATATACTGTATATATTTTGAGTTTTGTGCATATTTTATGTTTTACGTGAAATGATTTCAGGGGATATAAGCTTTTATTATTGAAATACTGTGGCTGTAGCTGAGTGTAACTAACTGAGCAGAAAAAATAGTTAGATTGCCAAGAGTTAAGAGAAAAAGTCTGCTTTGACTTTTGTTTTTTGAAGTAAATTCTTAGTTTTTTTTTACCTTTGTTAAAATCTTAACGCAGTGTGTGTGTGTTTTTTTTTTGTTTTAATCAATGCAAATTATTAACAGTGTTATTGTTATTTAACTTTTCATGTTGTTAATTTTCTGACTGCTTTCAAACATTTAGTCCTCTTTGCCTCTCCTCACCCCACACAGACTGCAGCTCTTCTTGCTCCTCTCTGAGGTCACTGAGGTCATGGGGGTCACAGACCCAAACTGGGGCCAGGGTCTCCATGGAAACGTCAACAGTGTCAAGGCCAAAGTCCTGGAGCATGAGGTGGTGATGATGATGATGATGAAGATGAAGGAGAGGGAGGAGGGCAAGAGGGGAGAAGGGGGGGAGGATTCCCTACAGAGAGACAGAGAGAGAGAATGTGTGTGAATGAGTTGAGTGTGTGTGTGCATGTGTGTGCACGTGTGTGCGTGTGCCAGCAGAGTGTGTGTTGATATGGAGATGATCAACACCCCTGTTACTTTATACATTTCAAAATAAAAGTCCCTTTTGTTTTATTTCAGATTTTTTTTCCTTTGCTGGAACATAACTGTGCTTAACCATGTGGTCAAAAGTTTGTAGACTCCATCACACAGAATCACTCAGTCTGTCCTCCACATGTTGAATCAGCTGCTTAGATTTACAGTCATTGAGTCTCAGAGCATCAGCACAGGTTTAGCTCAGAGATTGACTGATCAGGAGGTCTGGATCACATATATGGACCCAGGTTATCTCTTAAATTGTATATTGAAGTTAGGTCTCTTAATAGGAGCTTGTTCTGTGCACAAGAGCTTCGTTATTTAAAAAGACAAATAAATAAATTGTTGATAAAACTAAAACCTCACTTTATTAGTATTAATATCTATTAACTAGTACCATGGACTATTTAGATTTTAATGTAGGAGGAAAGACAGACACAGTGTCCACATACTTTTGGCCATAAATTGCACAAGTCTGTCCGTAAAGTCTCCTGAGGATTCCCCAGTTGCATTTCTGATTTAAAAAAAAGACCTTTTTTTCTCTAGATGAGAAAGTTTTAAAAAGCGATTAATATACAATAGAAACGCACAATGATAAGATTATCTAACAAAAGAAGAAAATTCAATATTTTTAAGGGGCAAAGTGTAAATTTATGCAACAGCATTCCCAGTTATTGAATTTGTTTCTCCAGTGTGTGTGCATGTGTTCACATCAATTTTAACAGAGTTTAAGCGTCTTTGCGCGTCAATAAATAGCCTGTCCTTCATCATAAGGGATACAATAAATGATAAAATAATAAAAAGAAAAGACTAACTGGAGAATAAAGGTGGGATTCAACTGTTGGTCAGTCTTTCACTCCTCCTCACCTGTCTTAAAAAAACATCCACAAAACCCTCCAAATATCTTTACACTGAGCTTGAATCACTGTTATATTCTGTAAAATTACATTTTACTCATGAATGCTGTCCATCAGAACTTAAACATGAACTCGCGTGGACTTACAAATAATGATGACGCCGAAATATCCTCCGTTTTCAGGCTGCACGTGCTGCGTCAGGCTGCGCGTAAATGCGCGCGGCTAACTGTAGCTGGGGGACAGCGCGGGAAAAGCACATCACAGAGGTGGGAGAAAAATGTAAGAAATTTTGGAAATGCTGAGGAGAGCTGGAAGAGCTGGGTTCGAAAAATCAAGACTGCAGAAGAAGAAGACAAAGTCCTGATGTGCAGCGGAGGTCCTGAGTGAGAGTGAGGCTGAGAGAAACCTCAGAGACAGGTGTGTGTGTGTGTGTGTGTGTGTGTGTGTGTGTGTGTGTGTGTGTGTGTGTGTGTGTGTGTGTGTGTGTGTGTTCGTGAGAGAGAGAGAGAGAGAGAGAGAGAGAGAGAGAGAGAGAGAGAGAGATGACAGATTGGCCTGTCCAATCAGCTGTTTGGACTGAGTGACGCTGTCGGTCTCGTAGTCTGAGCTGCTCTCTGGATGAGCTGCACGTGGAGTGAACCTGCAGTTAAGGTGAAGTCAGGAGAGAAAGCCATGAATACATGTGTTTTTGACAATAACGCATCCTGAGATCTCCCCAAAGTTTCGTCTGTTTGACTGTAAAAAAAACTTTGTATTATATTTTGAAATATGCTGTAAAAACAAAAAATAGATTTAAAAAAACCTCTAAGTGCTTAAAATGAGAAGTCTCAAAAAATAAAATTCCTTTTGTGTCCATTAAAGACTGTGTCCTGCAATGAGGCAGTCCCCAGCAAACCCCATTTTAAAACTTAACTGCAGAAATAAAGATGTTTACAGTCTGGAGCAGAAAGGTCTCTGTAGCTCATTACTCAGTTCATGATGACTGTACAGACTGAAGTTAGAGAGAACTCACTCATTAACAGTATTAATAACATTTTTAAAAAGGTCCTCTGTTGCTCTGTTAGTGTGTGAGGTGTAAATGAAGGACCCTCTAGTTGTTTCCAGTGTATGACATGAAAATAAAGCACCCTCTAGTTGCTCTTATTAATTGTAGACAAAGTGCCTTGTGGTTGCTCTCTGAGTTAATCTTATGTTAAAAAGTAAGTCAGAAAAATTTCAGGGTTTTACAGAAATTTTTCTGAGAAGACAACTCGAGGGGGGAAATTTTCTTTTTTTAAAGAACGTATTTTTGATAAAACTTGTTTTAAGCTGGCAATAAGTGACTGAAGTGTGTGAGTTGATACTACACACACGCACACACGCACCTGATCCTCTTCAGAGTTAACCTGTAATCTGACAGCAGGTCAGTTAATCTGCAGCAACAATTAGGACTCTAATTCATAAACTGACATACCAACAAGGTGACACATTAACAGAGAGGAGGGGAGGAGACAAGGGGACAAGGAGAAGACAAGCATAAGGGGGGAGACAATAGAGGGAGAACTGGGGGGGGGGCAAGGAAAGAGGGGATTAAAGAATAAGAAAGAAGTGAAATAAAAAGGAGCTGAAGGCAATGGACAGAAGGGAGAAAGAAAAGAGGACATAGCGCAAAGGAGATTATCTTTTTATCTTTTTTTTTTTTTGGGGGGGGGGGGGGGTGCTGCTGCTTTGAGAATCTTTTTCATATTACAGTCATCTTGTAAATTTTCTCTTTCAAGCCAGAGGTCAAAGGTCAGGTGGAGGAGTGGTGCCTTCACTGTCAGGATAATGTCAAATCAAACCTCCACCTTCGAAACATCCAGTTATCCGTGTAGCTGCAGACTTTTGTCCATCTCCAGCTGAGAGGGAAATCTGTTCCTACATCTGCCCCCTACCCTCCCTCTCCTCCCTCCTCCCCTGCAGGGAAACTGGCTGACCATTATACCTGACTTTTCCCATTAGCTTTTGTGGCTGGTTAAGTGGTCGTGGAGGGGGACTAATCACCTCCACCAAAAGGGCTCGCTGCACAGCAAATAGCAGCAGAGTGAACGCAGCAGCAGCTGCCGTACGAACCGTCAGCAGTACTACTACTTTCTCTGAGACATAGTGTTTAAAAAAGCAGCTTAGACTTGGGCCTTAAACTGATATTCTGGCGTAAATTTAAGTTAGGATCAAACACAACAAAACACAGAGTCAGACACCCCCTTAAGAAATGAATGTTGCCGACTGCTTGCTTCTGTAGTTATACCAACTTCTAGAACGACGGCACGATAGCAATACACAGCGGTCTACATCTCCATGTGCAAACCTCAACCAAAAAGCCATTCTATAACCACAAATAATGTTCAGAACAGCACCTAACTTCATCAACAGTACATATAGGGTCCCAGCCATAGTACTAGCCACCTAACATCTTTTTAGCTTTGCCTGATTTCTTTAGCAAAGAGATTAAACACAACTCACCCACTCTCTTCCAGCAGCCGCTTGTTTGCGAGGGAGCACTGACAAGTCAATCACCAAGTGCAGTGGAGTTTCGCAGCTCAAGGAAGAACATTTATGATTATGACTTAATGGAAATGCAATCAGACCAAGAAGCTAAGACAGAAGAACTGTCGTGTTTGCAGAGCAAAATGATTATTATGATGATTATTACTTCATGGAAATGATCTGCTGCACTCACAAACAAACACCCCACAAACAAGCGGCTGCTGGAGAAATGTGGGTGAGTTGTGTTTGGTCTCTTTGCCAAAGAAACCAGGCAAAGCTAAAAAGATGTTTGGTGGCTAGTGCTGTGGCTGGGACACTATATGTAATGTCTTGAGTTACTTGCAACTAGAAAAACAATAAACATACAAGCTAAGATGCGGCTGAAACCGGCTAAACATGGGAGTGACGTGTTTGCAGGCCACTTGTCAGTAAAAAAATTTGGCTCCACGGGTCCGTTGCATTAATAATCAACAGTAAATTTTATTTACACCACACCAATTAGTTCCAAATGCACAACTGCATGAAAAGATACAGGTTAACACAGATTCATCCTTGACATTTGCAAAAAACCCTAATTGACGGTAAAAAACTTGTATGCTCTCACCGGTGACAAAACACACACACCTGCCTCTCATCAGTGCTAAAAAGATTAAAGAGATGAACGAAACACTTCCGCCTCACATGCAGGTGGAGCCACCTACTGGGAAAACACTGAAATTGCATGAACCCAAAATCCACACACTGCATGAGAAATTAAAAATACACAAATAAGAAATATGGCACTTAACCATACAAATTGGTTCTAACAGTACTATTGATGAAGTTAGGTGCTGTTCTGAGCATTATTTGTGGCAATAGAGTGGCGTTTTGATTAAGGTTTGTGGGTGGAGACATTGACCGCTGTGATTGCTATCCAGCGGTCGTTGCTGAAGTTAGTATTACTAGAGAAGCAAGCGGTCGGTCAAATTCATCTCTCGAGGGGGGTGTCTAACTCTGTGTTACAATGTGTTTGACCAAAACTTAAATTTACGCTGGAATATCCCTTTAAGTGCAGGAGGACCAAGATCTTTGTTTTAAATTACAGGCTGCACAACAATGTGTTTAAAGACCGCTGGAACACAACCAGAGGTCAGGCAAGTATTTATCAATTAAACCTGACCTGGAGGTTTCTGGTGATGGACAATCTCTTAGTCCAACAAAGCTCACAGGTAGACAAATTATTTACTCCAACAAATCTCCAAAAGACCCCAACTAGTTTCACAAAACTTTTAAATGAATAGATACAATAAAAACATCCACATTAAGACATTAGTGATACCAAAATGGATCCTTGTGGGATGCCAGACTTATTACAGAGAAAGGATGGGTGTAAAAGGGACTCTAATGTCATCACATTCTGTGGTAACCCAAAAAAATAGATGGAGTCAGATTAATATTATCATCAGCCCTGCTCTGGTTAGAGGGAGAGTGAAGTTTCTGTAATTGTAAGGGGGAATGAAGGTGGGTAAGGTGCATGTGTGTATGTGTGTAAGTGTGTGTGTGTTTGGCAGGGGGTGTGTATGGGCGTGTTGGTCAGCAGATCACCCTCTCTGCCCCTCTTTGATGCGTCTCTGTTGATGCCAGACCACATGCTGGGATCTCATTTGTAGCCAGTGGATCAGAACGCCCTCTTCCAATTAAAATGAGCCTCCGGGTTGCCGTAGTCAACCAAAAGCTGACCAGGCGGGCGGCAGGTTGTAGGATTACTGGGTCTCTGCAGCCTCAGGTTTGACAGCCAGCTGGTTTGATTCAGTGAAATGTGCCGCTCAGCAGATTTTGGAGCTGACCCCACAACAGACTCGAGAACCAGTTTAGTCACTACTGCAGGACAAGATAGCATGAAAGTGACTGTCAGCCGTCCCTATTAGGCATTACTGACTTTCACCAGAGTTCAAACTGTTTTTAGTTTGCTGATATAAGAAGTCTGAATCAGCTGCAGCGCCATCAATAATAATCCATAACCTGTGTGTCTACAGTTTGAACCCGGTGTCAGCTTATCAAACAGCCTCCAGCCCAAGCAGCTCATTAGCCCTCAGTCGGCAGCAGCTACAGGTGGGCTACCTGGTGGTCTAACTCAGGTTGGAGTGGGACAGATGTTAAACCCTGCCTTCCCCTCCCTCTTAGTCCTCCTCCCTGCTGGGATCCTAATAACAGGGGGAGGGACGGGAGGATTTGTTGGACAACAGCGGCGGCTGCCTGACTGCCAGCAGCCTGCACGCCACTGGACGTCCACACACACAAACACACACACTTCGTATTAACAACCACTCCCACTAAAGTTACACGCTCCATCCAAACCTGACTTTGGGTCTTTTGTACTCTGGAGTGCACCTTAAAGCCCCCATAGACAACTTTACAGTAAAAACACACAGAAACACTCAAATTAAACTCTCAGTCAGAGATCGAATTACACCAAACTACCTGAAAACTCCAAATATGCAAACTTAAAACCACTTTCAACCCTCCTGAACTAACCATAAACCACAGAGAGCGACCAAAACCACCAACCCAAGCCCCATCAGCCACCATGTACATACAGCTCAAAAATTTACAATGACCCAAAAAAGTTCATTTTTTCCACAATTCAATCCAAACGGTGAAACTCCCATTTATTATATATTACACACAGATTCTGGAAAGTTCTGTTCCTGTCTGCCTTCAGTTCTTGGCCAGGGCTTCTTTTAGATGACATAATGTGATGTATCATGAAGGTGGTCAGTCTGAATTTCTACTGGGGTCTTACTGAAGTCCAGGTCTCTCTGATTACTCTTCCAGCTTGTCTGTATTGTTGCTCTGCTGTCTCTCATCTTCCTCTTCATGATCCTCCACAGATCCTCTTTGGGGTTAGGTCAGACCAGTTGGCTAAAAAATCAAGCTCAGTAACACC